AATTTCAATACATAAAAATAAAATTTTGGGATGTTACATAGTTCTTAATAGAAACCTTATATATATATACTAATTATATTCTCAGTGTCAAATTGAATCTCTACCCCAAAGAAATCCTTTAAATCAACTAAAGACTCCTCGGAAACTTCTTAACTCCTAGAGTCTCTCAATATCTCACCTTACAAACAACAATTATTGTTAAAATGTAATAATTAACAAAAATCATTACATTTTACATACTCATTAATGAAAAGAAGTAACTATCAAAATTAAGTACAAAAAATAATAAACTTAAGATACGAAATTAAATTAAAGAATATCTTAACCTAATAAGAATAACCTCGGAATCCCCAACCACAAAAAGTTTTTAGCATCAAAAGTTTTTAACAAATTTTTTCATGAAATATGTAAAAAGAAAGTATTTATTGCACATCTAGATATAGACAAATAAGAAGATTATTAATAGACATAGTAGGTTAATATGATAAAAATAAATTTGATATAGACAAATAAGGAAATAGATTATTAATAGACGCAGTAGGTTAATATGATAAAAATAAATTTGATGCGTCAGTGAAGTATTTGAAAATTTTGGGTTTACTCAATGCAAAATACTAATAATGAGGTTTATATCAACTGGTGAGAGAGAGTCACAATGTGTAGGAAAAAGAATAGATCTTATTAGACTAGATTTTAAAAATATAAGTTAGATTTATTTTATAAAATTAAAATTTAAGTTAAGTTTGATTTATTATTTATTACAAACTTTTTTTCCCAGCTTAATCTGATCTATTAGTCTATTTAAAAATCTATTTTACATTAATAATGTTAAATAAACTATCAAATTTAATTTTATATAAGTTAACAAATCTATTTTTATATAGACATATGTTTCTTTTTTGATAAAAAGGTTCATTCTATTAATATTAAAATTTAGAATTTAAAGTAAAAATAAAAAATTAACTTAAAAGGGATAATTAATGTATATTATGTACAGTTAATAGTCACGTACAAATTTAATGGAAGAAGATGATTTAATCCACAATTTTCTTTAAAAATATTTTTTATATTCTATTTTAAATATTTTAAATGAACCAACCATAAAGATGAAGGGAAAGAGCAAATAGAGATGTCACTGCTAAATTTTTATTTTCTATTTCTTGATTTCATATGAATAAAAAATATAAAATATTTAATTTAGTAAAAATGTCAAAAATATTAATAATTTTATTATTTATATTCTAAATTTATTTATTTAATTATGTTGATAATAATATAATATGTATATTATTTTTTATTATATTATATAGATACATAGGTTTTTTTTTAAATGCCTAAACATAATGATCTTTTTATTAAATAAGTTAGGTTTGGTTAGAGTTTAGATAAGTTAGAGTATAAACTCTTATTTAAGGCCCGACATGTTTTTATTATTATGTATTTTTATTATTTAAAAAATAAAAATGTGATTATTAATTAGTTAGATATTTACGAAAAGTAAAATAATATATAAATTAAATAAAAAAATAATAGGAGAGACATATTTATGCATTAAATTCAACAATTAAACCGTTAAAATTTGATGTACAACATAAGTTATTAAATAGAGTAAGATTAGATAAACCTACTTCTAGAATACATATATCTATCCTCTTATTTTATAGATTAATTAGAAATGAAAACATATTCTCAAACTCAATAAATTTGTTATAAATAATCATTAAAGCTAAATGATATATATAGGATGAAAACACATTTTATACTATTTCTTACTTTCTCATAAAAAATATACAAAATTTTAAATTAAAATATTTTTAAATAAATATATTTAAAATAAATAATAATATTATAAATATAATATATAATATTATAAAAATATTATATATTAATTTAAATAATTTTATTATTAATACTAATAAAAAAGCACTTTATATTTTGTTAGTATTGTGGGATGTGAAAGTTACAAAATAATTATGTTATAGTTTATTTTTTAAAAAAAATAAGTTTTATGTAAATTAATAAAATAAAATAACTTAATTATCCTCCACTAAAATAAAAAAGTATACAATTATTATAATAAATAAAAGATAAAATATCTTAAAATTTGTATACACAAAAATATAATAATGGCCTTATAGATTCATAATTTGTAGAAATAAAACTTAAACCTTTATTCAGAATCTATTAAATATAGTTTTTAATATTTTACTCAGTGAATATGAGACTCAACAGGCCGGTTTACTAGGTGAGAGGGGTATTCAGAATATTGGTTGACAATTTTCATTTGGAAGATGCCATTTTGGAAATAACTACAGCGTTGCACATGACTTTCTTAAATTTTCACTTCTTTTGATTCTACCTAACCTTCAGATCCCAAAATATTAAAGATTCCCCTTCTCGAGAACTCACAAGTCATAACTATTTTCAATTGCATTCTTTTATGACTCTCAACTGTCCTCTATACCATTTCTAGTATAAGACACCCCTCTTTTGCATGCATGCCATCCAACCCATCAAGTAACCTTAGTGTGTGAGTGAATTTGTGAGTGAGTGAGAGAGAGATGGGAAAATGGAGTACCCTGGTTGTGTTGCTTGTACTAGCCACTGTGCATGCAAGTGCACGTGAGGTTCCTGGGGATGGTGACCATGGAGAACAAACGCTGGGTGTGCATGCAAATGCACCACATAAAGAGTTGTCATTAAGCAAAGGTGTGGGTGACAAAAAGAACTTTTTGTATGGTGGGGCTGGTGGTTTTGCTGCGATGGGTGGTTTTGCTGGTGTTGGGGGTATAGGGAAGTTTGGTGGAGTCGGTGGTGGGATTGGTGGAGGGATTGGAAAGTTTGGGGGTATTGGTGGTGGGGTTGGTGGAGGGATTGGAAAGTTTGGGGGTATTGGTGGTGGTGCTGGAGTTGGTGGTTTCCATGGTATTGGTGGTGGAGTTGGTGGTTTCCATGGTATTGGTGGTGGAGTTGGTGGATTTCATGGCATTGGGGGTGGAGTTGGAGGTGGTGGCGGTGGTGGTGGCGGCTTAGGTGGTGCTGGTGGTGGTTTAGGTGGTGCTGGTGGTGGAGTTGGAGGTTTAGGTGGTGTTGGTGGTGTTGGAGGTTTGGGTGGAGGTGGGGGAGGTTTAGGTGGTGCTGGAGGCTTGGGTGGTGTTGGAGGTGTAGGTGGTGTGGGAGGTGTAGCTGGTTTGGGTGGTGGTGGTGGTGGTGGTGGTGGCGGTGGTGGTTTGGGTGGTGGTGGTGGTGGATTAGGTGGAGCTGGGGGTGGTGTTGTGGGGGCTTTGGGTTGTGGTGCTGGTGTTGGTGTCATTCACCCTTGTAATGATCCTTGATATCATTGTGATCTGGTTCTTTATTGCATGGATGTTCTTGCGAATCTAGGGCTGCCAATATTGTTTTAAGTTTGATAATCTTGGTATTATGTTTTGCATGTAATGTTATTTTCAGCTTCTTGTCGTTAATATTTTCTGCATAATTTAGGTTGAGGTTTTTGGTTAATAAAGGCTGCATGCATGGATGATTCATGTCACTGGCGTTATTGTTAATTCCGTATTCTTGTAGTTCTACCATTTGAAGATTCAATGTTATTATTTGAAGTTGTGTTTCTTTCTTTCTAATGCAAGTGTTCATGTTTAATCTGGGTACATTCCTTCGAATTGTCAGCATACACCATAATAAAAGAAAATATAACAATGTTTTAATTTTAGCCCTCACGATTTCAGTTTGGTCACCATAGCTTTTGAAATATAACAATTGTTATTATTTTTCTTTTAAAAAAGATAAAATATTAAAAGTTTATTTTGATATTAAAATGAGATTAAATTGGTTAAAAAAATTTAAAAATAAAAAATAAAGATTTTTATGTCTTGAAACGAGATTCAAATCTTTCAAATATAAAATTAAGGATATATCTATCATATACTTATGATTGATGATTTGTAAAACTTAATTATGTTCAATATTCATCGAATGTCCTAAATATTTTTAGGGCAACAATTATAGTATAGTTGATTTTTTAACTGACTTTTATCGGTTGAGGTAAATTCAATTACTACTTTCATCAATTACTTTTTGAAAGTAAGAAATTCAATTTCTCATGCAATAAAAATATGACAAACCGATCTTTAGAACCAATTAAATTTGTGATTTAATTGAATCGAACACAAAGTCCAAATAATTTCTGTTACTATCATAGTAATTCCTACAAATTGAAAGAAACACATCGAAGTTAAAATAAATTATACTTGTTTACTATATAAATTATTAGGTACAAACTCTTAATTTTAAAAATTATTGAATTGAAAAATAAAGTCAAAATCTAAGTAATTTTAAAAAAGTTATACCTGGTAGATAAGTTTGACTATAACAATAATGTACTTTATTATGATATTTTGATGTTATATATTTGTTAGTCTATTTAAAAACGCACTGAGAGTCTAAGATCCAACTGATGACGTCTAAATTTTCTTTAACCTATTTTTTTTTTAAAAACTTATTATAAAATACAATTTAAAAAAAAAAAAAGAAATTAAGTTAGGCCCATATCTTAAAATGGATAGATGAGGGATTAAAAAAAATATACATTTTAACTCATAATTAAAACATTTTCTATAGCCTTTAATTAGAAAACTACAAAAAAATACAATTAACTGTACCAAAAAAAATACAATATCACAATTCACACGATTGAAGATTATACTTGTTTATTTATTGCCTTTTTGAACATGTGTCATTACAAAGTACATCTGATTGAGATTATAAATAGTTAATAACATTTACGAAGAACAATATTAAGTCTAAACTTAAATATGGATTAAACAGGGGTATATACATGGGCCTTTTTTTTTCAAAAACATTAATTAGAAAATATTTAATATGTTTAATTAAATAATTTTAACTATTTTTTAAAAAAATTAGTATTGAATACTTTCAGTTTTTAATTCGAAAATCATTAAATATTTTGCGACTTATTAGCATTCTTTTATGTTGAAGTACACACAAAGCATAACTCAGCAAAACCAAATGGTTTAATACTCATTAATAATGGATGATTACTTTTTCACCAATAATTAACTTAACAAAATTAAACCTGAAAGAGAGTAGTAGTGGTTTATTATAACTGCTGTTTAGGTCTTCTCTCTCTCTCTCTCTATTCTCAAAAGGAGAAGTAATAGGCTAAATATAATTTTAGATTTCTTTTAAAATAGGAGCAATTTTATAATGCACAAAAGTGTAACAAGTAGAAATTTATAAAAGCTAATTATTTTCTTAAAATTAGAAATTAAAAAAGCTAGGATTTTTTTTCAATGAAAAAAAAATATATAGTTAAGCACTAAAGTGTGAGAGTAACAAATTCTAACCATTAAAATATCAATATATAGTGAATATTATAAGTTAAAGTTGAGTGACTTCTTTTAACAATAATGCAAACTAATTGACATTCTTGATTTCATACAACATTAAATGGTCGAAATTAGGCGGTATTCTTGTTTTGTATGTACGCGTCAGCTTCTTAGTATTTTTTTAATTATAGAATTTAAATCTATTAAGTTGAACATTAAATTATACATATTCAGCTATCGATCATTCATGTCAATCTGTTTAAAAATATATATATAAGTTAGAATCTAAATATATATCCTGTCAAATTGATCTTGATCAACATATATATATATATATATATATATATATATA